GAGAGAGAGAGAGAGAGAGAGAGAGAGAGAGAGAGAGAGAGAGAGAGACAGACAGACACACACACAGACACAGAGAGAGAGAGAGAGAGAGAGAGAGAGAGAGACAGACAGACAGACAGACACACAGAAATACACAAATACAGAGAGAGAGAGAGAGAGAGAGAGAGAGAGAGAGAGAGAGGCAGACAGACAGAAAGACAGAGAGTCGCAACATCACCTAGATAGACATACGTCAATTGACACAGAGAAGACAGCAAGTGCATTTTCCTAGACTTTTGCCGGTTTTTTTAAATGGCGATGACCTTGAGGTAGGTAGCATCGCCGAGGTAGGTAGCATCGCCGAATTGATCGGCTCAGTGTAATTCAACGTCACTTTTTGCGTATACGCACACTAGGCCCTCGCAAAATGAGCGGCCAGATTGAGGCCTCCTTTTAGACGGACTTGACCTGGCCGCTGATTTTGCGATTCTGCGATTTTGAGTGCCTGGTGTGAGTATGCCCCCCTTTATTAATCTGATTCCATGGCGCGACGACCTTGGGGGAGGCCCCATTAGGTTATGCAAAGATATTTTGATAATATAATTCTTAATTCCTCAGGAATTCGAGTTCAGGGGTCTGTTTACCGGCGGTGCATCCCCACCAATAGATGGAGCCTTCAATACCCGGACCTGCTTGAGGGGGATGCAAATATCACCCCGTTAAGCAGGTCCCCCGGTGCCTGAAGTTTTCACCGGGGTGTAAAAAAAAACAAAAAAAAACAAAAAAAAAAACAGGAACAAAAAAAAGAGAAAACGGGGTAACTACGCGGGAGTCACAAAACCGAGTTATAACTTAATTGCACTATGGGGAATGGCAAGCCAGCATTGAATTGTGAATGATGACGGGAGGTCCGACCGGCGTGCTTCCGCCGGCGCAATACTTTCCTGTTCGGCAACGACGGAGTCTCTGACCGTGGAGTGTACCGCCACTGATACGCACTCGGTATTGTCGAAGCGCCGTCACCTACTCATTGAGGTAGGTCGTAACTGGCTTGACCAGCTATGGAGGCTGCTAGAATAGACACCCGGAAGGACCTTACTCTGTGTCAGTAATAGTCTGGCTCCGAGATTTGAGTTGTAGTAGTTAATCATCTGTCTATTGATCTTGCTACAAGCTCGTCAGTTTGGGATGTTAATAGTTAGATAGCTGAGCGGGTAAGATGGCGGAGATGGAGACGGTCAGGGAGGTTAACCGTTCACCTCCCAGAGCACCAGAGATGACGTCAGATGATGATAACCGCCTAAAGGAACTGGTGAGGATGTGTTATCATGATGGGGTGATGCCTATTGATATCGACCCTGGGGAGATGATGGTAGAGGGTAGAGAGGTGAGATTTAAAGTTAACGTGGCCCTTGACCAGGCAAAAATTGCATGGCTTAAGGAACACACATTTACATTCATCTTCAGAGCTGGAGCAAGGTTTCTGCCGAGGAACGTCAAGGACGATCTTGTTCGGGCGTATGAAGACAAGCAAGTTGCTGATGGCAGCTTCGAGGCAGGTTCGTTTCAGCGCGGAAGAATTAAAATCGGATCTCCTAATGTTATCTCCTACGTGGCCAAATCGCGGGAAATCGCAAGTTGGTTGGTGAACAAAGGTGCTGATGAGCTGACGGTGGGTTCACAACGATACGTCTTCGAGTTTAAGCCATGGTTGACTAAGGCGCAGTTGCTTGCACAAAGGAGAGTTGAAGATGAGGAAAACTTTTGGGTTGTTGCTGTGCAAGTTCCTCTTAACGCCTTTTTTTACTTGGAAGTACAAATCAGGCGTGCTGTGGGTCCAGTCCTACGATCCCACCCTCCTGAGCAAGACAGAATGAAGCCATCGTTGGTGAATATCAAGTTCGACATCGATCCCAGTGCCAGGAACAACATGAAGGATAAATTTTGGATAGACACGTCGGAAGGAGATTCGTTGGAAGTCAAGCTGGCGTCATCCGCTACTCCAAGGTGTAGACGATGCCGTGCTTTTTTCCATTTTGAAAATGAATGCAGGAGGAACATAAGTCAGCAAAGTCAACCTACGTCTAGAGGTCCGGCCACCTCTCAAGCATCGATGAGCCAAGCTCCTCCTCCAGCTCCTCTATACTCAGGCCCAATGGGACCTAATGGTAATGGGAGTTCAAGTGCGAGTGCGGTGAGCAGTGCCATGGCGTCATCACAAGCTGCAATGCATATTCCATCCATGCCATCGTCTTCCATCCTCAATCCAACGTTCTCTCCTGGATTGGTGTCTGTAGCAGACCTCCGGTGGGCCTGTGAGACCAGCCCCTTGGCCCGTTCTCACAGGCCTGTGTTTTATTCGGGGCAGTCCATTCCAGGCCGGTACCTCTGTCGGTACCAGCCAGTCCAGTACAGTCCCGTCAGTCCGCTGGGGTATACCCCTGCCTTTGTCTGTTTTCGAGCTCATTCTTGACTTGCACATTTTGGAGTACGTGCGTTGGAGTCTCGCGTGGGGAGCTGCGTTGTGCCATCTCGCTCCCCCCTTCTTCCTCCATCTCCATCTCTACCACTAGCGGAGCACCACACCTGGTGGGTCCGCTACATTGGTATCGGAGCGGGAACGGTCCCCGCTCCCACCCACCACCCCGCACAGCTGTCCAGCATTCCGCACAGCTGGAAATACAGCAAAACCCAATAGCGGGTTTTTTCGGTTTTTTCGGTTTTTTCGGGCGGTTTTCAGCGAAAACACAGGGAAAAAGTGGCGCTTGCAGGAGGCGACACGTGGCGAAAAAGAGAGGCGCCACGACGAGCGCGTGCGCTTGCGCGCACCAAGGCCAAGGCCGCCGCATAGGCGCCCTGTTCTTCTACAGATAGAGGAGAAGATTGAGGTTGCTTTAGAAGTTCACGGAGACGCTGTCCTCTAGCCAATTGGTTCTGAGTGGCTTTATCTAGATCTGAAGCAAACTGAGCGAAGGCTTCCAATTCTGCAAATTGAGCTAGCTCTAATTTCAATTTTCCAGCTACTTGTTTCATTGCTTTAATTTGTGCAGCTGAACCTACTTCAGATACCGTCATGATTTCGTCTCTGAAAAAAAGAGTTTACGACCCGTAGGCCTTCTACCTCCACGCGGCATTGCTTCGTCAGGCTTTCGCCCATTGCGGAAAATTCCCCACTGCTGCCTCCCGTAGGAGTCTGGACCGTGTCTCAGTCCCAGTGTGGCTGATCATCCTCTCAGATCAGCTACTGATCGTTGCCTTGGTAAGCGATTAC